TTTTCCCCTGTCTTCTAAACCAAGACAAACTCAAAGATGTAAAATTGTATTTTCGGCATTCAAGAAATGCCAACAGTGCTCACTTCTTTTTTTTTTTAAGTAGAATTCAAACACTGCTGTGTTTTAGGAGTCCTGAAGATCAAATGGATGCTGGAGCAAGGAACAAGGATATTGTGTTTCTGTTTTTACCTGTACCAGCGATCTCCATGGCAGCTGAAGATCCTTTGAAGGCGGACTCATCCACATTCTTACTGGCGTTACTCTGGCCTTGCTCAGTGTACTGGGAAGGACTGTTGGGCCACTGAAAGTTGCTAACAAGCCTTGCTCTCTCCTCCCGTGCAGTAGGATCATCCCAGACAATCTGCTCGCTCTGGGACGGTTCTGTGTTTACTTCTGCGAGTGCCTGACGGGACTGCCTAAGGAAAAAAGCACAGATACTTCAAATATTCATTTCTGTAACGAGAGACTGCCATGCTAGCAGGCATGCTAATGGACACAGCAACTGTAGCATCCAAGTGACCTTGTTATTAGAAAGCACAGCTGGGAAAGGGGAAAATTTGAGCATAAAAGCAAATCAACTGTCAAGTCTGGCTTTGGGCACCAAAGTGTCAGCAAGGATGAAAAAAAGGGCAATCAAAATATCAGTAGCAGATGATAAACTATTCCAAAATCAGTGTTCTCTGATCTTTACTGATCCTAGAAGTTTGCAAATAAACACTGGGCTGAAGCCAGCGGGGAGGACAGGATGGGTTAGGTGACCCAAAGGGACCAATCACAGTGTTCCTTCCCATGTGCTTGGTATAAAAGGGCCCCTATTAGCGCTGCTGTGCTGGAAGGATCAGTATGTGCTGTTTCTCACCTCTCCCTGTGCTGCCTCCTGTTTTCACACTGCAGAGGAGCACTGTTCGTCGGGACAAGTAACCTTCCCCAGCCTCCCCAGGTACAAGGTTTCCCCTTAGTATTTTGGGGGTTTTTTTGAAGGGGAGACCGTCTTTGGGACTCTGAGCTCGGACACTCCTGTCTGCTGCCGAGTCCAGCCTGGGACTTGTCTGATCGGGACCCAGTTGCCATCTGGAAGGTGCGGGTTCTGTATTAACATACTTGTTTGATTCTTTAAATATATTTATATGCTTGTACATGTTTGTGTACAGTGCAACATCTTCATCATTATTGTTAGTGTTATTTCCTGAAATGTGAAATGTTATGCTACTTCTTCAGAGGCTGCAGTTTATGGCTGATTATAACACTGTGTCCTAACCTGTCCTGCATGTTATCGTATTCTCTGGGCCTTCCTAGTGTGGGTTTGTGGTTTCTTGGTCAGGAATGCTGGACAAAAGGCATTCGTTTTCTGTCATGTTTAACATCGCTGGTCTAATCTGGTTTAAGCTGGATGGTGGCTTTACCTGGGCACCTCAGGCACCATTTGCTAAGTCTTATTGCTAATTATACTCTGAAGATTACACTTCTTCTCACCGAACTGACTCCATTGGAGTCTGGGGGTTATGGAAATTGTTTTCCCTGTTTCAGTTTGCTAACTTTATTACTGATTATCAGTAATATGTTGCAGGGATGGTTCATTATCAGTACGTGCAGGTGTAGGCGTAACACAACAAGCAATGCCACCACTCCGAGTCCCACCCCACCAGTACTGGTGCTCCTCCAGACAGGCACGGGGCACTGCCGTACCAAGCCCTGCAGCAAGGCTTCCATGCCTTTCTCACTGTGGGTCAGCATTGTTAGAGTTCAAAACCTATTCTCTGTTTAGAGAGAAAAGAAAATAGGAGGAACATTCACAGAGGTGTTTTGCAGGAATACCTATTACTTGTATATCACGTATGTACTGAAATACTGCAGGGCTGCTTTCTTCAAAATCTCTAAGAAGACTAACCTGAAGAGAAAGAAATCAGCTGGCAGAATTCAGCCTGAAACTAAAAGGCCATCATACTATTCTGCTTTTTGAAAAATTAAAGATAGCTGCTCCACTGTGAATTAAGATAACATTCTGACTTTATCTGCTGTGTCCAGTATGCCCAGGAAGGGCAAAATAACGTACTTTGAAACACAAAAATCAATACCTTAGGGCTTCCAAGGCCCTGCTGCGGCCATTTCGCACAGAGCGTGTGCTATCGGGAGTGGTGGGAGAACCATCAAAACTGCTCCTAGAAAGGGATCCTCTTTGCCCTTGTGGTTTCACCAGTGACGTGGCAGACATGATCTCCTGCAGCTGCCTTTGGAAGTTTTCTCTCATTTCTAATGCTTGAGTTAGAACTTAAAAGAAGGAATAAAACTTGTAATATCAAGACTGTTATACTGTAACATGTGAAAAGCAAATGAAATTCCAGTCAATTTCCTATCACCAACCCTATATTGGGACAAAGACAATAGGTTATGGAGAGAAAAAGATATCTGGGGAAAAAAGAATCTAGAAAAAGTATGTATGCCCCAAGTGACCTATTCCTAGATACAAGGAGAAATTGCGATTTGTCTCGCTTCTGAATTTGCTCGTGTTCTAACTTATATCCACAATTCTACTGTAACACACTTATATAAATAATACAAAAGGTATACTCTAACGGGCTGTAAGAGTCTTTAAAATTGACAGCAAACCCCTTTCCTCTCATCCAACAACAATAAGGGACAGCTGTACTTGACCTATATATAAATACGGTACCTGTAGCTTCCAGATCTTAACACTCGGCACTTGAAACTCTGAAAGTCTTATATAGCTAGTTTGATGCTCCATGAATATTTTGTAAACAGCAATTTACATTTACCTCCCTTGGATTCACTTGTTACAATTTGTTCTCCCCCTGTAACAACAGTTTCCTTTATTTGGTCAGTAGTTAGATCATCTTCAGCATAATCCTCATCCACTGGAATAATCTAAAACCAATGAAGATGAGAAGAATTGTCAAGCACTGATATTTTTTGCTTTTTACCCATGTTCAACACTCGTACAAGTTCTGAAGGTTACTATTCTTGCCTTAGAGTACATCTAACCTTTCTGTTACTGCACTGACAGCACAACAGTGAGCAGCAGTGTCAGTGACATCACCTGCTCCACAGCCTAAATATCTACTGAAGCAAATTTGCACCTTCTGTCTTGTTACCTACAAGAGAAGGCAAAGACTGGACCTAGATAATTTCCAATTGAGAAAGCACTTCTCATCCTGAAATCCTTGTGTTTCCATCCATTGCCCTAGAAAAGGAATATTATAAATGCCGAAAAACCTTAAGGCCCATCTGCAGTAGCTACTATTAATTATGACCTAAACTTGATTCAGGGCATGACTGAATAAGCATCAGTGGTTTTTATTTCTAAGTTAAGTAAATCCAAATTGCTTCATGGAATATGAATTCATATCACACATCATACCTCATTTTCCTCCGCTGGTTTTCCAGTTGAGTGAAGTTTACTGGAGGAGGAGAGCCTGACATCTTGCGTTGCACTGATGTCCAGGCTCATTTTGGGATTGTAAGTGTGAGGATAGAGAGATTCAGGAAGCCGTTTGTATTCTTGGGCGCTCTGTAATAACATCAGTTAAGGTAAGAATGATGAGAAACTGATTAGGATAAAAGAAATTTCCTGTCTAAACAAAAGAAAAGTTCAAGGAAAACACCACTGAAAGTAGTACTTTACATGAGAAAAATGTGGCTCTTGTTCTGGGAAACAGGTAGCAGAAGTGTTCAATGGAAGAGAATTTTTCTCCTTATGGAGAGCAAAGTAAAAGCACATCAGTGAAAACCAATTGCTCGATTTATAATCTCAAAGCAGGATGCAAAACATCAGTTTCTATACGTGTTCAGTTTAAATACAAACAGAAAATTTACTGTTTTGCCATAGAACTGGCTTTAAACCTCTCCTTCCCTTCACTTTTAATGAGGGAACAAAGCAAGCTCCATACCTCTAAAAGCCAGTGTTCTGAAACGATGTGTATGCCCCGTTCTTTAACGGATTTGTACTCCTTATTGTTGTCATTTTGTCCTCCCTTGTAGATGAAGTGTGTTACTGTTTCATCAAAGCACCATCTAGAACAGAAATTGAAATGCAACTTGCAGATGCCATTTCTGTCAAAGTCCCAGAAATCCAGCTCAGAAATTGTCCTATCCCTTACGTTAAAATAATAGTCTCTGCCTAACTAGCAACGAACCCACTTTCTTCATCAAAAAAGGCGTGAAGTTTCAGGACAGAACAACTTCAGGGTCTTTTGAGCATTCCCAAAGTAAACAAAACTAAATCTGATAAGCAAAACCTCTCCTTTTCCATATGTTTCAGTTTTTTCGTTTTGTTTTTATTTAAGTAAGTGAGGTTTCAAATCAAGTTTCTGCAAAGGTGTGACCGGGGAGAAGCAAAGTTTTTCTTTTGTTGCTGTATTGAGCTTCAAGTGAAATACTGATCCTGGAAGCTCAAAATAAACAAAATGTGGGATTTTAACATTTAAACCAATAAAAAGTAGTACTTGCTATCTAATGCTGTATCTTCAGCATTTCTAAACTACTACCAGACATAAGGGCAACTTCCTCATAAACACGGTGAATGGTAACACTTATTACAGAAGTCAGCAACAAAACATATAAATCAGACCTAGAAGGAGCAGAATTCTGTCCTAAATAACAAATGTTAGCGACAATGTATTTTTCCTAAGCTTTTCTAAGCACGCTTAACCAGGTTTATAACCTGTAACATAATTCATTTTGAGCCAGGGAGAAACACAAATTCAGATCAGATTCCACATCTGAAATATAAAGCAAATTTTAAGCTACTCAAAAGCGAAGCATGTTTCATGGTTTTCTTCAAATGAGAGAAAAAAGAAATCTGATATTCAGGAAGTCTCCTATGTATTAGAAGTCACATCAGTGCAGAAGCTTAGAAGTGGTTTGTATCCATCAATACCTGTAATCTGCCCCAAGAGAAGCTGCTACTGCGTTCAGCTCGCTTTGCTTTGTACTGAGTTTTTTACTAACGTAGATAACGAGGTTGGCTAAAGGCTTGCGCTCTTCTTCCTGCTCCTGCAGCTGGGGTAAAAACAAGCAAGTCATATCTAGAAGGTTTCTGTATTGGTAACAAAAGTACTTAAATGTTTAGTGTGGCATGTAGCAAAACATACAATAACAAAACTAAGATAGGTGTGTTTTCTCTGTTTTTGCTACTCCCAAACTCCATGGTGAAACCCAAGCACTATTACCATTCCACATGCTAGGAACCCAAAGATAAAAGATTCATTCTCAGTTGGTATCCCCAGAACGTATCTTGCTCTTTCCCTCGCAGACTGAGCACGCTGAAATTGGGAAATTATCAAACTTGATGCAAGAGAAGTATTTCACTGTATTGGAGTGGGGGGGGAAAAAAAGCAGCTACAAAATGAGAAGTGACAGCCTTCCTTTGCTGAGGGCTGTTAGCTGATTTGCTCCTCTTCTACAGTAAGCAGTGTACTACCATGGCAAGCAATACATATAAATGCTCCCTTTTCTCCTGCGTTGTTTTCTTTTACTAGGTAGGTCAGACTGAAGAGGCAAGGTGATTACAGGAAAGGATAAAGCAATGTATCTTTGTAAGGGGGCAGGCAACTGATCGCATATGGTGCCTCCCAGTAGGCAGAAGAGCAGCATCTTACAGAGGAAAACAGAAAAAAATACACCTGCGTTTAAAAAGGACTGACTTTAGTCCAAGACTCAAAGTATTTAATCCTGCTTATATGGAGTTTGGGACCTTCTTCAGTCTGGAAATTTCATCACACATTCCTCAAGTTACTGAGTGACTGCTTAATATTCAAGACAGTGGTACAGACAGCAGAAAAGCTCTTTAAGTTCTCTGTCTTCTAGGAGGAAACCCTTCTCCCTTACTTTTAACTGTCACTGAAGAAAGCACAATCATACAGCTTTCTACTCAAATATGTTGCAAAGCCCAACTCAAACTCCTTTGTAATTCATATCGTGGAAGACATGGAGTTTTCTTATTGAAGCCTACGCTTCAGAAACTCAACCCAAAATCTCCTACCGCTTCTGGCTGCACCACAGCCAGCTGTGGGTTGGCGGCGTGCCTCGTGCTGTTTGCCAGGGCCAGTTTCAAGTTTCTGCCGATGACTTCAGAGAGAGGTGTGCTCAGCTTCCTGGTTTTCTGATCGGGACCTCTTGGAGTTTCCAAAGCTGCCAGAGCGTCCTACCGAAAAATAAGCAACTGACTGAGTTCCGTGAACACATTACAAAATTTGCACTCAAGTGCAAGTTTCATAAATACAGCCTAGAGTAAGATTTCGTACTCCTGAACTAGGACGGCATACTACAGGAGCAGGGAACGAGTGCAACCGCAGTACCGTTGCACAAAAGCAGTGCAAGACAATTCCAATCTTAGCGTCTGCGTAAACAATTTGGGAAGATTATTCATTTCTCTTTTCACCGCCATCAATGAAAACCACCCTCAATGGAAAGGCCAGTGGCCAAACCCAGGTATTACTAACCTCAGCCAATTACTTTAATTTACTAATACCTCCCACCACAAGAGTTGCATGTGAGGATGTGATTTTATCTGCTCCTTTCAAACATGAGGGGTTTCTTTGTTCTATGTCAAGACCAGTAGCTTTTCTAGCATTTTGAGGTCTTCTGAATGAGACGCTGAATCCAAAACCCCAACGCATTTTTCAACTTGCAATAACAGTTTTGTAGTTGCCATAAAGCTATTATGTTAAAGCAGCATTTTGTCACAAAACAAGCAAATGCTTGTTTCCAGGTATGTGGAGCAACTATAAGACTTCTTGTTACGTTTCTCAGGATTTAGATGTAAAGAACAGATTGTGTACTGTGTGAGGTGTAGGACACACGAATGTGTGATGCAGAAGGCACAAAGGAGCTTTAAGGATGTTATAGTATCTGCTGGTCAATAAAGGTAGTGTACAGGTCATTAACTAGAAATAACTATAAATAACAGAGCTAGTTTTCCTGTCAGGAAGTCTGTATCTTAACGGTATAAAAAGGGGTAGCTACAGGTTTCTGTGCTGGTTATAAGTTAATGTTCGTCTTTAACTGGCTCTGCAGACTAAAAAAATTTTGCAAAGATCATCACCTTTACATCAAAAGAAGGCTTGAATAACTTGTCTTTGGAAAGAAATTTTGATGGTGTATCAAGATGTAAGGATGGTTCTTTCTGTGGCGGTCCCCCCTGTGCAAGAGGGGTTGTCTTCCCAATGTGATGAGAGATTACAGTTCGGAAAGCTTTACTCTGGAACCTGTTGATATCAAGAGGGGTCACAGCTGTTTGTTTTCCAACTTCAAGGAGGTACGTCGGTTGTTCTGGATTGGGAGATTTACCAGCTGCTGGTGTCTTGCTAAGCTGAGTAATGGAACTCTCATCTTCAAAAGAAACAATGGAAACATAAGCAAGCAATCTCATTTTTCACTTGAACACAGGTCTTGCATATGCTTTTATTTAAGCAACGGAAAGTTCACCTGCCCTTTCTTTCCCTAAAAAAAATCATTCATATCCCCCCTAATAAATGTTCTAAACTGATATTCAGATTTAAAAAGCCAGTATCTTAAGCATCTCTTCCATTTAACTACTTAGTTTGAATTACACTGGTGCTGAGCTTGACCTAAGTGTCTGAAGAAGGAGCAACCTGTTTGCAGTTCTACACGTGCATGTATAGCTCACCTAGGTTGTACAATGTCTATCACAATACCAGTCCAAGAAAAAGACGTAATATGCAACAAATCCTTCCTTTCTGATGTTAAAAGTAACTCCTTACTTCCCATATAATGTAAAATTTCTTTTGTATTCATGATTCACCCCTCCTTAGGTCACTGTACATGCTTCCAGTCCCTTATGCCTTTAGATTAACAGGATCAAGATTTTAGCCAGGAATAAGCCCTTAAAGGTTACCCAGCATTTCTAGAGAGGCATGAGTCATCTCTATAGCTAAAAGATTAGTACAATAATTGCTTTTATATTTTACTGCTTGTTTCCCCACTCCTTTTTCTCCTTAAAAATGTAATCTACAGATAAGATGTGCCTATGCCAACAACGTACCTTTTGTCCTCTGACTTAGTGACCCCTGTAATTAATTCACAAAGGTGCTGGTAAAAAAGGCCTGCTAACATTCAGCATTAAATCACTGTAGCCTGCATCTTAATATGGAACTCTGTTCAGTCCCCATGTGATCTAGTTGAGAGGCGTCCCTGCCCATGACAGGGAGGTTGGATTACATGATCTCTAAGGACCCTTCCAGCCTAGGCCATTCTATGATTCTATGGAAGAAATATTGCCAAATAAAAGGTATGAAATAACTGGAAAGGGAGCAGAAGCATCAGAAGGTGAAGTAGGCATGAAGGACTGAACAGAGTGGCGTCACATCATTGCAGACCAACGAGTGTGAAGATATGAGTGGGATCTATCATTGATTCCCACACAACCTACAGAGCAGCATCTGGGTCAGAAAGGACAAAGCTGAGACACTGAGCTCAATTTCCACCTGACTGATAACCACAAGACTCCACTAGCTCCAAGAGACTTGCAGAAAGTGCAAAACATCATTTCTATAATTGGCTACAGCAGGAAAAAAAACATGGAAGAAATACTTGGAAAAACATCCTTTATCACTAGTACTTCAAAGATGATAGGAAAAAAGAAATCCTTATACCTGCCTTCTATACCATGAACCAACAGTCCAGATACAACCTTGCTAATAACCAACCTTCAGTCTCTGCATTTTCAACCAAGAACTTGCTTTCATCTGCTCTCTTTCCTGTCCTTGCAGACTGCAAAAGCCAAGGGACAGTGACTGCTGGCAAATTCCACTTCTTTGCAGCTTCATACTTGGAACCATCCGGTTCTCTTGCCACGAGATGGGTGCTGGCAAACATTCCCTTTTTGGCATTGGCTTTCCGCACAAAGAATTCTTGGACTCTAAAATTAAATTAACAAAACATTTGTTTAGTCATAAACAAAATTAATCTAGGGCATGTTTACACTACCACAAAATACATTCGATCGACAGAAAAAGAACCAGTGAAATTATCTAAGGCCATCCACTTTCATTGGGCTTCCAGGATACTGAGAACGTAACATTTCTCATACTCCAACGGTCCTCATGTATCCCATTTCCAAATCATACACTGGGCCTAACATCCCTCTGCAAAATTAATGGGACAGGCTAGATTCCTTTCTGGAGCCAACAAGCATTGTTTCCAAATGAATAATACTTATTTTTTTATATTAGAGTTTTTCTCTTGCCATCAAGGACCCAATCTTTCAAAAAGACTGAGAACTCACTGGCAAAGAATTTAGTCCAAACAGTCTACAAATCCAATCAAATGATACTCCAAGCTGTACAATTTTGCCACTTCATGACTAAACACATTTTTCTTAATGTTTTTCAAAGATCTTGATGAATTGGGAGCAAGTAATTCACCATCCCAGCCTCTAAGGAATGGTGCACTATCACCAGTTGTGAGGTTGAACCAGATAGTACTGAGGAAGAGGAACAACAGCCTGTCTCTGGACAGCTGAAGGGCAACTCAGAAGACCCGATCGCTGAAAACCAGACATTTTTTGCACTGTTCTAGAACAGAAGAAAAAAAGTACTGAGACTCAGTCACTGGGAAATATGAGACTGTGCTCTTGTAGAAATTAGGCTGTGTGAATACTGACTGCAGTTCTCTAAAGAACAGAAAAACAAATGATATAATAACACCTCACTGCTTCAGAAAAACAAATGATATAATAACACCTCACTGCTTCAGCACTAGGTTTTGTAAATTAATAGAATCCAAAAGAGCTTGAACTCTAATATTTGTTACTCCTATAAGAGAAGAAATTAAATGCATAATGGATTTCATCACACTGGCTAAGAACAAGAAGAAACGGTGACAGGAGACGTACCTGGCTCCCAGCAGTCCTGCCAGATAAACCAGGGAGTTTCTCTCTGCGCCAGTGAATTGGCTAAAAGAAAGAACGCAGTTTTCCAGGGGTGTAACTCCTTCCATTACTGGGACTGGTGTGAAAAGTGGGTTGGACTGAGGATCTAAAAGGAGCTGCTGTTCCACACAGGTTTTCTTAAAGAAGGTGAAAGAGATAAAAAGGCAAATCAAACCCAACAGCCACAAAGACAACAGTATTTTAGCAACTGTACAAGAGCACTTACGGACTTGGCAATAATCGATCCTGCTTCCACAATTACATCTGATAAAAATTATTTCCTACTGAATCAGACAAATTCTTTTCTAGATTGTTTTACTTTTGTCAGGTTTGACAAACTAAGGCATTACTCTAAACTTCCCAGTTACTACTCTTCCAACCCTGAAGGCTACCTTAAATTAGAGGTGTGATCTGAGGGTCTGTGTCGTTCTATTTCACAGAAAGTTACCTATTACTGAAAAATACTTAACAGTGGATAGTCTATATCATGTGCCCACTCTTGGCAAACAAGGGTTAGTATTTTCTGCCTTTTAAGCTATAATGCTGATGTGTTCTTTTGCCACAAGTTACAAAACTAAAAAGCACAAATCAAGAAAATAAGTACAAAGACATCAAAGGTAATCATTATTTCTAATGTAGATTTACTTGTGGAACTGAAAGCGTAACCCCCTTACCAGCCACGTATCTGTGACAACGTCGCCAACAGTCACCTTCACCGTGCAGCCCAGCAGAGGCACCACAGCATAGTCTGCGATGGTTCTGCTTTGCGGCGGCAGGATTTTCCCAGCGTTCTCCTTTATGAGGTCTGCGATGCAGCAGTCGTCCTCCTCTTCAAAGCCCAAAAGAAGAAATCTCTTTCTGGTAAATATGCCTCCTCCAGCCAGTGCAGAAGACTCTCCCATAGAAACGTTATAGGCAGAAGAGTAACTCTCTCCTTGATCAGTCAAGTGAGTAACGTCATCAAAGGTTCCGGAAGTTAATTTTTCAACTTCATCTGAAAGAGGGAAAAAAAAAATACCCACCAAATATACTAACTGCTTGACATGGACATCAGTGACAACTCAGAATAGTTCCATGATGAAATTACACCATTCTGCTGTTTCCAGCCAGGTTTTAGTTAAAAACTGCTCTATACAGGCCTGTTTAAATTTGATTTCTAAAACACAACGTGGAAGCTAGATGCAGTCAGCTTTTAAATAAGCAAATGCTGCAAAACTCAAATACTTATTATAAGCAGGTAAACTTCCTAGGGTATGCTGAGCCTAGAACGTACCTAATGTAGAATCATTATTTATATATTGAGAGAGGAAGTAATCTTCAGCAGCTTTCTGGTGCTTTGTAACATTCACAGCTTCTTTCTTCATGAGATTGCTATTTTTGAGAAGAACTGACTTCTTTCCAGGTTGCTCCAAAATTGGGTTCTCTAACAGCTGGTAGTTTGGAGGGATATATTGCTCCACTGGATGTAGATAACCTTTACTAAATGACTCCAGCAACCATTTTGCTGTCACTACATGAGGCCTATAAAATAGAATCGTACAAACAAGTTACAGTGGGTTTCAGAATTGTGGTTCTTCTTTTTCCCCTCTGCAAATACCAGTATATACACACACCTGAAGTTTGTACCTCCAATACTAACCAAGCTCTGAGCACTTTACAAACCTCAAAATTTATTTTTTTTTAATGGTCTCTGTCTGAGAATAGAGATTTTCATACTCATTTTAAGTAAATTCTATCCACCACTTCTGGGTTGCCAAATTCTTTCCCGTCTATATATTAACAAATACATGCTAACACCTCTTTTTGCCAGTAAGAATTTTTCTATTTACTGAGGTGATTTATGGCTAACCAGAGAACTACATTATTCAAGGGCACACGAGGGTGTACTTATGAATACTAGCTGTAGGGCTTCTGGTTTAAATCAAGAACTATTGAGGATTTTCAAATCGATACATGTTTTTCTATTTACAAGTTTGTGGGAGACAGAAAACAGGGCAGAAATAGACCTTAAGCAATATGGTTATCACAACCTGTGAGCTTTCTTATCCAAAAAGTGTTTCAGCTCATCATTATTTTCCCCCCAAATGACATGGGTAACATCTTCATTAAGTTGGTTAAATCGAACACCACCACCACAATTAATGAGTCGCCTCATCTTGTCCAACTTCCTGCCACTGAAGCCACACAGATAGATCTACAAAGAGAACACACCAACAAAAAAGGCTTTGAAAAAAAATTACCACAGAATAAAAAATGAGCAAGATATTTTGGTAAATTTGATTTGACCGCTGTAGAACACAGAACCTAGTACTGCTGCTTCTGAGAAGCAGCAACAAAGTGAAGCATTTAGAATTGGATTAACTTCTTTGCAAATTAATCTAGCAAAATTTCAATATTACTAATGGAATGAATCACCAGCCAAAGCTGTACAACACAAAATCCCCCACCCAAACTCAGACACCAATTCTAGAGCCCATTCACTACAGTGTTTACATATATATGTTTAAATTTATATTTGTACTACATACTTAATACAACTATACACACACACACACATAAATGTAGACACACACCCAAGCTACAGCATGTGGACACAAAATAAATCTGGCATTTGCTCCTGACTGTGGAAACAACAATTTACTCAAGGAGCAATTGCCAGAGTTTCAACCTAGTTGCTTCCACAGGCTTAAGTACGAACATTTCAAAATATGTATTGTTAAACATACTCGACACCCGTCTAACAAATCTTCAGGGGCATGAAAAGAACTTATATCCAAGTTTTCCAGCTCATCAGGATGAGGATCCAGGCTGCTACTCATAGCAGAACTACACGTGGTTTCATTAACACCACTCAAATTGATATTGGAAATGTGGCTGACGTCCGAAAGGGTATGATCTTTAAAGGAAATTAAAAAAGCATGTGTTAGTTTTGGCTCACATCTCGTTGCTGCTCTGCTAAAAAAAACACAAAACCAACCATGTGTGATTTTGTTGTGCTAGAAGGAAATGAAAAAGGATGAAGAATAAGTAAGGTAAGTGTAACCTTGGTTAAACCAAGGGCTTTATTTACACACAGAATTGAACATGGGCTGACTGCCAAGCGTGCTTATGTGTCTTCTGTTGATTCCCAAATGGATGTCAAAGAAAAAAACAAAACAAAACAACAACAGCATTTGTTTTCTCCCCTAAAAGTACTGTAAGATTAAATTCGTAACAGACACTCATTTTAAACTACAACTGTAGGAACCATCATGCTTTTTTAGGACTTAGATACACACCACTGACTCTTAGGCAATCATACGTGCGATTCAAGTTTAAACGTAAACGCTTACATGTTTTAAGTCTACACGTGTTGGAATTTCAATGTGTATAAAGTAATCTGTTGTGTGTTACGCATAAGCACAATCAGAACCCAGACTGCCAAACCAGCACCCTACTAATTTAAAAACAGTTCTTCCTCCTTACTAAAAATGTTTCCTACCTTACTTTAGCATATTTTAAAATGTCTTACTTACTATCGAGCTTGCTGGCATGATTCGCAGGTGTTGATGTACTGGGGTTACTCAGTTTTGATCCAGCTTCTACTTTATAAATTGCCTCATCCTGACAGAAGCCTTTCTCAATGCTGTCAGAAAACCACTGCAGAGACACGCAGTGCACGTTCCATTTTTTGGCGCATTCATACTTCTGACCTTTCAAATGTAAACACAATAAAAAACGCAAGTCACTAAAAGGCTAATGCTTCACAGGGTGACAGCTGAAAGATGGCTGGATGTTAAGAAAGTCTGAAAATTCAAATAACTGATTGCGATATGGAAGTTGTGATATCCTGGACTGCTCTGATAAGCTGCTTATTTATTCCCTAAATGAAGTTAGAGCAAAAAATCTCACTGATGGCTAGCTCATGGGCAGAGTACGACAGAGCACTAAAGAAAAAAGAAAAAAAAAAAGGCTTTAAATCTTTCCAAAACAGAAAAAAGAGTTTAAGAAGTCCCAGGGTATATCCTCATAGAGATGTGAATGGCAGTTGGGGAAAACAGAAAACCCTTCCCATTCTTCTCGCAATGAAAATACAATCCTTTCATCTTCCCAAGAGGAAAGAAAGGACCTGTCATTTTATCTCAGTATGGAGTTCAGAAGGCACAAAGAATAAATGACTTAAAAATCATTAGTCCACAATACAATTTCAATCAGCATATAAATTAAGTCCTGTCCAGCTCTCCCAAAAACTTAGTTTTGAATTATTCTTCCATCCCCTCCACGATTGTTCCCTTAAATACCATCTAGGTCTCTGTTTTTCAACTCTTGATCTCTTCTCATACCTTTAGAGCAAAGCTCCATGCTACTCCTCTCATCAACAGTGATTCCCTAAACAGCAGTAGTAAGAGCAACACGGAAGCAGACACACAGACCGTTTGAACTCTTAGGTTCAAGAGTTAACTCAAGAAGTGAAAAATAGTATTTACTCTGTAAGTTCTACCTTTTGGCTCCTGAACTATGAGGTGGGTGCATTCGTTCATCTTGAGCTGCCCGGTATATTGCCCGCCATGTTCAGCAGTGAGGCGCTGGACTTCCTTCCTGTCCGAGCTGCTTAAGCCAGTCACGCAAATCGTACAGCCGAGGAACACGGGGCAAGCGTAGTCCTCCATGTTAACATCCGTGTACCTCATTATGCTAGAGGAATGAAAGAGAGAAAAATAAAAAGAAAGAAAATATCTTTTTCTGCCAAGTAAAATCAACCAGAATAAGTAATCTGTGTCACCCTAACAATTACCAGTCCCCATAACAAAAAAACAGTTTTGTTTTTTTATACCTTTGCTGAGACTTATCCCACAGTGCCTTAACCCAAGAAGGAAGTAAAATAGGTTTTTTCAGAGAAGCAGCTACTAAGTATTTCTTGCTGCCAACTTCTCCAGCTATCAGATGAGTTACTGACACATTGAGGTCTCTGTACACACATCCACCCATCATCTGCACATATTTATGAACTTCTTCCTAGGTGGGGAAAAAAATTACAAGAAATTATCAAGAAAAATGAAATTACCTACACCACACTCACATTCGGCATTAACAAAATCTTAGATTTCAGTTGTCTATGGTTTCTCCTAAAAAACAGTCCAAAAATACGAAATGGATATCTATATGGAAGCTGTAAAAACCACCAAGTATCATTTCAATTTTATTTGTACTTATGATAAGCTGAATATTATGCGTACCCTTAATAAAAATACTGCAATTATAATGTATTAGTAAAATTTTATGGATGGTTGACATTTAAGGTAGCATAAATTAGAAAGAGATATTGGAATAAATAAAAAACAAAATTTTTAAGAGAAACTATTTAAACCATGGCTGACTTTTCTTTACCAGGTACCTTTGAGTAACTGGAAATAAAGCATGTTGTCTGTCGCACTGTAGATGCAGATAAACTAGCAAGTTAATAAAAATCCCTAAAGCGTGCATTTACTCCCATACTGAGACAGCTGAAATTTTAGATGATTATATACATGCTTATGTAAAATATATGTGGGCATGCATAGATAAAACCACTGCATGCACTGTTATATACTACGTACACTTACAACGCCCCCACCTTCTCCATATAACTCTGCCTAAACTACAAGGCATTACCCGAATGTCTTTTTCCAGGCTGGTACAGGACACTGTCACATCGGCCATGGTCATGTTGTACACGGGGTACTCAGCTCTCGGGACGCAGCGCTGCGACTGCATGCAGTACAGGACAGCCTGCGGGCCAACAATCCTACAACCGAGCTGCAGTACAGTAACAGGGGAAAAATACAACCAAAGAAAGTTAGCAGAAGGTATGCTGGTATAAGGAGGGCTTTCCTTGTTCCTGAATCCTGAGGAAGGCAGCGCCCTTTGTCTTTCAGTTTTGGTTTTACTTCCAGCTGCAGATTTACAGCACAATCCTGCAGATGCCAGGGAATTCCAGTCTGTCTTTGCCACGGTACTTGGGAGGTAAAAAAGTGAGAGAGCCAGCTTAGTGATTCCAGGAAAGTCAGCACTGACCATACCACTTATTTTATCACCTGCTTCAAAACAATCCTTACACTTTGCCAGCCATCTTCTTCCCTAAACACAGGATGCAGTGAAGTTTTAAAGATTTTATTGCAAATACTTCACACTGTCATATTCAGTGCAAAAAGGAAGAACGTACAGAGTGCAGGGATGGCCAGGAGTGCCTCTAGAAAAGAATATAGCTGGCAGTTGATGGGTACCATACCTTTTTAAGATGATTGAAAACAACGCCTCTAAAAGGATCACAGATGTAAAGTGATTTGTCATTTTCTTTTATAGTGAGTGCTGTTTCTTCTTCAAGGATCTGGAGATGTTTTTCGGACTGAAATTCTTTTATAGACTGCAGGGAAATGGCACACAGCAACATTTATTTAATTAACAAATCACAGATAGCTAATCCTGTGGAAACTACAGAAGTATATCTACTTGAAAGAGCTCACAAAAAAGCTGCCAGGCAAGTCTCTATTGGCAGAAGAAAGGGCTGCCCCCTTATTCCCTCAAGTCTTCACAACACTCAAATGTTCGTCACACAAATTTTCAGGACCTGATCACAGAGTCACACAGAATCACAGAATCGCTGAAGTTGGAAGGGACCTCCAGAGATCACAGAATCATAGAGAAGTGGGGATTGGAAGGGACCTCTGAAGATCACCTAGTCCAACCCTCCCTGCCAGAGCAGTATCACCTCGAATAGATCGCACAGGAACACATCCAGGCACGTTTTGAATGTTTCCAAAGGAGATTCTACAATTGCTTTGGGCAGCCTGTTCCAGTGCTCTGTCACCCTCATGGTAAAGAAGTTTTTCCTCGTGTTTAGATCATTCTGCCACATAGTGCCTTCAGCTCCCCCTAACCTCTCAACATGGAAAACAGTCAGTGTTGTTCCTAAGTCTGGTTAGTGCTTAGATGGGTGAGCACCATTCTGGCCTTCCAAGCTACATGTCACTTCACTAAATGTCAATAAGTTTTGAAATTATAATTGTTTCCTGCTCAGAAAGTAATTTCTTCAACAATATAGTTCTTGTTCAACAAACTTTAATAAACACTGAACACTTCTATTACAGAACTAGCTTGATTTCCAGATGCATGCATATAAGCTACAGCTCAGTCAACTACTGTCCTGGTTTGAGATTCCTTGCTGTGCTGGAAGGATTAGCATGGGCTGTTCCTTGGTTCTCCCTGTGCTGCAGGTGTTCCTGCCTCCTGTTGTCACACCGCAGAGGAGCACTGTTTGTCAGGACAAGTCACCTCTGCTGGCCTCCCCAGAAAAGGTTTCCTTTTCTGTTTTTTTCTGGGGGGGACTGTCATTTAGACTCTGGGCCTGGGTTGCTCCCATCTGCTGCCAAGTCTGGCCTGGGACTTGTCTGCTTGGGACCTGGTTGCCATCTGGAAGGTGTGGGTTCTGTATTAACATATTTGTTTGTACCTTTGAATATATTTACATACTCGTTTGTATCTGTATATAGCTGTCATTGCTAGTATTATTCCCTATCTCACTCAACTGGTTCAGGTTTGGTGTTCTATTTTTCCCAGCCTGGTTCCCCTGTTACCTCTCCGGGGAGGCATCACTGAGAGCCTCTGTCAGGGTTTAGTGGCCCAGCCCTGAACCTCGATAGCCACAGAAATCCATCAGACAGAATTCCGCAAGCTCAGAGAAAGGCGATCAAACCTACTTACCTCAAGAGCTTTAAGAAAATACTCTGAGCTCCCGGAGGACTTTACGAATTTCACAAAAAACGGCTCCTTGCTACCTTTCATCCTTTTAAGAGAAGCAAAACCCGGTAAGCCTCCCCACGGCTCTGAGCGCAGCCCGGAACCGCCCCCCTCCTCACACCGGG